ATGAGCTTGCATTCCTATTTGGTCGAGAGCTGGGTCCAGATCCGCACCATCTTGGTTGGGTCGGTGGGGTCGATACCCACCGCCTTGGTTTCCTCGAGCGGGCGGAAGGCCGTCGAGGAGGTCAGTTTGTTGCAGTCCAGGACTGTTGGGGTTGATGACTCCCTGAGCCGTGAGAGCTCAGACGAGTTGGCGACCGTGGTGGCGAGCTCGAAATGGTCGCGGTCACACGTGAAGGCGTGCGAGAAGGCACTACTTACAGTGATGACGCCGTTTGGTCCCGGCATCTTCAGCTTGAGGTAGGTGTAGTTGGGGATCGCCATGATTTTGGCGTAGCATGGACGCCCCAAGATAGTGTGGTAGGATCCTGGAAAGTCCACCACTTCGAAGGTAAGGAACTCCGAGCGGACGTTGGCTTGTTTGCCAAACGTGACGGGCAGATCAATCTGCCCGAGTGGGTATGCCTACACTCCCGGGATCACCCCATGGAAGGGAGAACCCGCTAGGCGGAGTTCCGACCGGGGAATGCACATGGCATCGAGGGTGTCAACATAGAGGATGTTGAGGCCGCTGCCTCCGTCCATCAGCACCTTGGTGAGGCGCTTCTTCGGATGATAGGGTCGACGATGAGCGGGTAGCGTCCCGGTCTTGTGACGTGGGAGGGATGGTCTCTCTAATCGAAGGTGATCAGAGATTTTGACCAGCTGAGAAAGGAGGGGACGGTCGTCTCGGCGGTGCATGCCTCCCTGTAGCGCACCTTGTGCTAGCGTTTTGTCTAGATGGCGTCGGACCCACTGAAGATCATGATGCACTCCTCTGGTTCGGGGAAGCCGTCTCTGTCCTTGCCTGCCGCGCCCCCCTTCTTGGTTGCCGCCTCTTTGTCATCTCCCTCCTTTGGCCTGCCGGCCTATCGGAGGAAACGTTTGAGGAGCTTGTAGTCCTTGTAGAGGTGTTTGACGGGGTAGGCGTGGTTGGTGCACAGACTGTCCATGAGTTTGTTGAAGTGGTCAGGTAGCCCCTATTGGGGCTGCTTGCCCATGCGATCAGCCGCGATGACCATCATGGTGTTGTCCAATTAGCGCCGATCCTTTTTGTTCTTCTTGCCCCTCTATGTGGAGGGACCCTCATCTTGGTCCACGCGCTTGGCATTGCCTTTGTCTCGGCCTCCGCCGAAGACCGCTCTGACCGCCTCCTCGCTAGAGGTGTGGTTAGTGGCGACGTCGAGCAGGTCATGAGTGGTACGGGGTTTCAGGTAGCCAAGCTTGTGGATCAGGGACTCGTAGTTCGTCCCGAAGAGGAACGTGTTGATGACGTCTGCGTCGACGACATTAGGGAGGGAGTTGCATCGTTGGGAGAACCCACAGATGTAATCCTGCAGGGACTCGTCGGGCTCCTGCTGACAGCTCTTGAGGTCCTAGGAGTTTCCAGGGCGGACATACGTCCCCTGGAAATTTCCGACGAAGACCCTCTTGAGGTCCGCCCAGTCGCGGATGCTGTCGTGCAGGAGGAATTCAAGCCATGCCCGAACATATTCCCCCACGCAAATGGGAAGATATTGAATGATTAAATAGTCATCATCCACTCCTCCCGCCCGACAGGCGAGCCGGAAGTCTTTGAGCCAAATGTCTGGGTTTGTCTCCCCGATGTATTTGGTGATGTTGGTCGGTGGTCGGAAATGCTGCAGGAACAGTGCTCTCCGGATATGCCGGTCAAAGGCCCATGGCCTTGGACCCTTAGGGCTAGGACTCCGGTCGTCCGGTCGGTGACCATGCCTGGGGCGCGTTTCACCGCTCCTCTCGATGGTTCGGTCGGGTTCCATGTCGCCTGCTCTTGCCGCCGCCCGGTGGACGTCATCATCGGGCCAGGCCCGATGTCGGTTGCTGACGATGCTGCGAGCGTCCTGGTGTGGATCGGGCCGCTTGTGTACCGGCGGTCAGTGTGGAGCAGGTGCCAGGTCGGACCGAGGCGCGGCTGCCACCCCCTGAGCCACACCTGGCGGCTGTAGCGACGAGCGGATGGAGCGATCCGTCTGGCGCATCCCTATTCCCCCGGTGGGGGAAGAGGGCATGTGTTAGAGTCACGATGCGGAGCTTTCCGCCTGTTGAACAGCGGCGGCTTCTACTAGAACCCGGAGGTTCCAGTAGACTGCCCGCTCCTAGGGGTTGACAGGCTCGGGAACGCCGCGTAGAAGCATTGCCGCAATAGCAATGTTCTGGCCAGCCCAAGCAAACTATGGGAGATCGTTCCCCTCGTTCATGATGTCGTATTGGACTTGACGGGAGCGACCCCGGGCGCCACTCGCCGGGCCATGTGCATGGGGCGCAACGGGTTGTACCAAATGCGCCGGCGCAGGCGGCGGCTGGTTCTGCCGTCGTTGCCATAATTCCTCGGCGTGCGCTTGTACAGACGCGAGGGCCTCCGCACACGGGTCCAGAGGGTGTGAGTCTGCGTAGATTCCACAACCACTAGTGGTTGTCCCGGAGCGTCCGCCATAGCGCACTCCCGGGATGGATGGTGGCGAGGTTCCACGTCGCCGATGCTGGAGCCGTCGCTCTCACCCTCGTCATCCTGGAGTTCGTGGAGAGTGGCGGGAGTGTAGCTCGCCATTCCCACGAATTCAGATGTGAGGGGGGATGGTGCCAGCATCCTTTGGAGCCCCCAAGCGTACGCATCCATGGGGGACGCGAGGCCATAGGGGAATCGATCGTACGGTGTTCGTGGCGCGGGCAATACGGTCCCTCCGAATGATCGGCGGGAGATAGTAGATAAAGAGTAAATAACAGTACGCATATTACTTATAGCGGGGTTTGAGCAGAGTTTTCTCGGAATGAAGCATAGATGTCGCGTCGTTGAAGTGGCGCGTCCCGGAGTCGATGGAGGGCGCCCTCCGACGGGTGCCGGAATGTGAGCCTCCTTGCGGAGGTGTAGTACGCTGAGCCGGTCGACGACGAAGTCCAGGCTTCCGAAGAGGAAGGCCTAGGATGGCTTGAAGATGGGTGGAGCCCACATACCAACAGGTGAGAGTGCGGAAAACTCTAGCGAGCCAAAGCGAATCGTATCGCCTGAGCCCGCCATGGCAAGGGTGGTGGAAAAGTGGGCCATCCGATGACAAAAAAGTGTTGAACGTACAACGTCTTCCCCACAAACGGCACCAACTGTCGGTGTAGAAAGTGACCAACACGTAAATATTTGTAGTTTTGCCGTACGTTGTGATCGGAGGTGGCCTAGCACTCAATGACATAGGGGTTATACTGGTTCAAGCAACGTGCCCTACGTCCAGTTTGAGTCGGTCGGTGACTTTATTCCTAAGCCTAGGTAGTCAAAGTCTGCAGTGGGGTTACAAACAAGAAGGAGAAAGATGGGGTGCACGAGAGGTCCGGTCGGACTCCGGTCGGAAGGGCCGATAGCGACAAGAGCTTCTCTACGAGCTAAGTGTTCAAGCGTGTGCTTGAGGTCCGAACCTGGCGGTTCTGTGGTTGTGGACTAGTGAACTTGGTCGATCTAATGAATCTAAAGGGACTGAGCTTGAATCAACCTGGATCAACTTGGGTTATGTTGGAGGGAGCGCATCCCCTTTTATAGATAAAGAGGTGGCCTTACAAGTGAGAGGGAGAGAGTACGAATGCTTCTAAGCCTTGTTGCCCACGCCGACGGGTACAGGATGATGGTAGGCGACCACACACTGTTGGATGTCAGATGCACATGGGAGGTTCCATCGTCCTTGTTTGGGTAGGGCAGATGTCGGTATCTGCATATGCTGTTGATGCCCAGAGGCATGTGAGGAGTTTCACCATGTGCACTCGGTATGATAAATCCTGGCACCCACAACACTGTCGATGCCCAGAGACATGTGGGGGGCCTTACCGTATAGGAGTTAATGGCGTCCATAATACTGTAGGGGAAATGTCAGTGTCTATAATACTATTTATGTCAGGGCATTTACGGAGTACTGTTCCGTGCAGGGTACGGTCCCTGGTACCGTGGTTTGACTTATGAGCCTTGCCTTGCTTTTCTCCGCACGTCTCCTGGTCCCTACTGAGCGGGCGTCCCTGGTCGGTTGATCCCAGTCGGCTCTAATCGCGCCAGTCGAAGAAGAGCGGTGAGTAGGGGCTGGGCGTATCCCCGGTCGGAGAGTACGGGGTCAAAGTCGGAAGTAGTGTTTGGGCCAGGCCTTCCGATCGGAGAGACCGCCCGGAGGCGGCTGGAGTCCGAAGTGAGCGCTCCGGTCGGAGAGGTGGTCTGAAGTAGTCGACGAGCGGACGCTGTTCCTCCTCGGCCAGACCTTTCGGTCGGTGACTGGACCGCCCTTCTGGCCTGTTGTTTTATACTCTTAGGCCGGCCCATGAATTGCGTGCTGTCTGCTTGGGCCGAACCTTGGCGTGGAAGCCGGTCCCCGAGTGACCCCGCGTTTATGAACCCGACAAACACCGTTAGAGGTGGATGACGGAGCAGGGGCAAACTGGTGCTTCGTTTTGAAATCATAGGGGTAAATTCATAAAGTCAAAAAAAAAACAGAGATAAAATCATAATTTTAATACAAAACCAGGGTAAAAACGCAAGAACCCAAACCAAATAAATAGATGTAAAGGATTGAGACAATCTCGTCTCGGCCCATATATTCGGCCCAAAACTCCACTCAACCACAGCCGCTCGATCTGGTAGAACGGTCGATTCGATGCTCCATCCAATATAAACTTGTCCGCACCGACGCCTGCCGCTCCAAAACCCTATTCTTCAGCGTCTCCCATCCGTCGTCCACTGCCGCACTCCTCCCCTTCGCCTCTCAGATCCGGATCTGGCGCCGCCGCCTCAGCTACTAGCACTACCACGCGCTCCTCAGCTACTAGCACTGCCACGCGCCGTCACCTGCCTCGTTCGTTCTCCAGCATCCGCCTAGGTCGTATGGCTTCAGCCTCTCCAGTATCTCCTAAACCCTAGACCCTAAGGCGGCGGCAGCGCTGGCGCGCATCACGGCGGCGGCGGCGGCTTCGCGCAGCTCGGGGATGGCGGTGGCGGCGGCTTCGTGCAGCTCGGGGATGACGGCGGCGGCATCACACATTTTGGGGACAACGGCATTACCACGCATCTCAGATCGTGGAGGAAATCTCAACAGCCATAGGCATTGGGGCGGCTGCGACGGGACTGCTGGGGAGAAAGCGGGACAAGTCATTGATGATGCTCCGAGAACGCGGTCGTTCAGCTCCGCGATACTTCGTCGAGGAGGTCACGTCCGGCGTTGACGAGACCGACCTTTATAGGACCTGGGTCCCCGTAAGTCCTACCACCACCGCTGCCGTCTTTAGCTGTTGTGTATTCGATTTTGTTTTTTTGGCTTGATGTCTTTTTCTGCCTTTTTGTTCTATATGAATTTTGGTTTCAGACGTCGGCTACGTGGAGCCCCCTGGAGCAGAACACGCCACTAGAGAACATGTTGCGCAGGATCTAGAACCTTTACCAGGATGGAGCACAGATGCACAGTTTCTGATGCCCCAACCCCACTATTTTGCTATTTCCTCATTTTGTTGTCACACAAAGAATAAGATGCAGATGCTGTGATTTGCTGGTAACCTGGGTCGCTACTATCGTTCTAAATAATATGCATATGCATTGAAACACTTGACTATTTGGAATTGACATTAAGGATCTGAAATTTGAGGAAAATATGAGAAATAAGTGGTGCTGAGACGATCTCATCTTATGAATTTATTCAGTTCCAGTTAAGGACGTCTGATAGCAAAATTAAGTATTATTACTTACTGCCTAGTTCATGAATTTATTCAGTTCCAGTTAAGGATGTCTGGTAGCAAAATTAATTGTTGCTTACTGCCTAGCTCAGAAAAATTTAATTAAGTGCCCTTTTCGACATTTCTCATATGCAGCCAGCCTTTAAATATTGAAATAGTAGTTATAATCATATATAGTACTTTGTGTAACTTTTTTCCATCAGTTGCATGCATGATTGCTCTATGTTTATTTTTGAAGTGTCACATAATATTTTGACATCACCGATGGGAGGCTATTGCTCAGTTTTAGTTTGCTTCCTTGTGCTTAGATTTTAACTAATTGATTGTGATGACTTTTTTTGTAATACTGTCTTGGAAACCTTGAGAGAAGGACCTGAACATGCGAATGGCAGAAACATAACCATGTTGCTTACACCAGTCCTATTCTCACTTTATCTCAGCTAATATGAAATGAGTGATGTGTGCTTCTGAATGTAGGTTTGTGCGTTTGAGCCTTTCTGCACACATCTGCATGTTTGGTTGTCAATCATGTAGAGGTTCACCTGGGATTAATTTCGAATTCAGCAGATAGGTACATCCAGATCCATTATCTTTTTTCTTTGTGAATTTCTTTGTGAAATAAGAATGGATGAACTGAGAACAAGAGGATCTTAACTCTGTCAAAAATGATATGTGGGCAAGTTAAGAGAAAAGTTATCTTATTGGAAGCAGATTATATGTATAATTTGGGTGCCAATCATACATCTGTTTATGCTATTCAATCACTTCTCTTCTCAATCACCTTGGCCTGTTGCTTGTCAATTGTTGAACTGTATAGCTGTTGTTATCGTCGAGCGGCCACCACTGTTACCTTCTGATTATTGGTGTACTAGTGATTAGTGAAGTATTAATCCTTACGTTAGCTGAGTTTGCTTGCCCTAGATTTTTTGTGCTCTTGGCTGCCCTTCTTTTTCATGCATGATTTTCTGCTGTTGTTATTGCCGGCATCATTGATTGGAGAATGTTAACTCGAGGCTTTGTAATTTTCTGCAGTTCTAGCGCAGGAACAAGATCTACAAGGTGTTTGCAAGGCGAAGGAGGGAGCTGCGGGAGCCCCTGGTGTCACAGCTCACCATTAGAGTTTGCCGGCTAGTCACAATGTTATATTTTGCTGCAGGTCTTTCGTTAGGGGTGTAGTTAGTAGTTTTAATAGAATGTGATCATATACGTATGTTACTTCTGAATTGGTCATTACTGAATGTGCTTCTTGATTATATGTTCAAAATGCATGTCTGAATATGAGTGAGTTTGTTTTCAAATAGTAGTCTCGAATGTGGATCTGAAAATAAAATTGTGGCTTATGATTTTGTAATTGAGGAAATTGGGACCTAGAAAAAAGTAGTGTGGGTTACATAATAAAAAGTATTTTTGTGTAGGCTCAGGATAATCAGCCCATGAAAATGTGAACTAGCCCAAAAACATTCACGTGGGCTAGCCCAAAAACATTCGTGTGACCAGCATAAACTAGATGAGTTGGGCCAAAATAAATATAGGTCAACAATAAACTTCAACAATGGGCTTGGTCCATTAGAAGCCTGCTTGGTACATGGGCCTAAATAGGCCGAAAAAGCATGGAAACAAGAAATGGGCCAGGCCAAAAAATGAGCCATAACAATGGACTTGGCCCATTATAAGCCTGCTTGCTACGTGGCATGGTGTAAGGAACAAGCACCAAGAGCATGGTATGAGAGATTGGGGGATTTTCTACTCTCTAAGGGATTCAAGATGGGAAAGTTGACGCAACTCTCTCCACCAAGAAGCTTGGAAATGACTTGTTTGTAATGTAAATCTATGTTGATGATATCATATTTGGGTCAACAAATCAAGATTTTTGTGAGGAGTTTGGCAAGATGATGGCAAGTGAGTTTGAGATGTCCATGATTGGAGAGTTAAGTTACTTTCTTGGTCTTCAAATCAAGCAATTGAAGAATGGTACATTTGTGAGTCAAGACAAATATATCAAGAACATGATCAACAAGTTTGACATGAGTGATAGCAAAGCTATTAGTACATCAATAGGGACAAATAGAAGCATAGATAGTCATTCTAGTGGCAACATGGTGGATCAAAAGATATATCGGTCTATGATTGGAAGCCTACTCTATATGACCGCATCAAGGTCGGATGTGATGTTTAGTGTATGCATGTGTGCTAGATTTCAAGCCTCACCAAGAGAAAGTCATTTGAAGGCAACAAAGAGAATATTGAGGTACTTGAAGTATACACAAAATATTAGATTGTGGTATCCCAAGGAGCAAGATTTGAGTTGATTGGATATTTGGACTCCGATTATGCGGGATGCAAAGTTGAGAGAAAGAGCACATCGGGCACATGTCAACTATTGGGAAGATCACTTGTGTCTTGGTCATCAAAGAAGCAAAATAGTATAACACTTTCAATCACCGAAGCAGAGTACATTTTGGACGGTAGTTGTTGTGCTCAATTACTTTGGATGAAGGCTACTTTGAGTGACTTTGGAATCAATTTCAAGAAATTGCCATTGCTATATGACAATGCAATCAAGTTAACAAACAACCCGGTTCAACATGTAAGAACAAAGCACATTGATGTCCGCCATCACTTCATAAGAGATCATCAACAAAAAGAGAACATTTGCATTGAGAGTCTAGGCACTGAAGATCAACTTGCCGATATTTTCATCAAGCCACTTGATGAGAAGAGGTTTTGCAAGCTAAGGAATAAATTGAACATACTTGACTTCTCCAATATGTGTTGATGCACCCCCTATTATATGACATGCCTCTCCTTCGAGCAAAGCAAGGTAAAGTTGATTGCTATGTCCTCCATCCATTGCTAAGGACTTGTTTAGTGCATCTAGTCATTCCTATCATGTCCTAGGCTCATTCATGAAAATCAAATGAGTTTGATGCTTGTATGGTACCACTATTGCTTCTATGTTTAATTTGGTCTAGTGGTAGCATATGACATGTTTGTGGGCTTGTAAACCTAGTGTTTGATCTAGAAAATGAGTTCTAAGCGTTTAACTCAACATGGTACAAGATGACCCTTATTTGGAGGTGTGAAGAAGCTTGTCCTTGGATCAAACCGAGTTAAATATCTTTTGCAAGTGATCTAGATTGAACCAAATTGGGAAAATGATCCTCACTTCACATGGTTTTACTCCAATCTACCTAAAATTTGAGCTCACCTTTTGTGCTAATTATTGACAAAGTGTAACACCCCGGGTGTTTAAATATTAAAAATCGGACATATCATCATATACATTGCAAGGCATTGGTCATATTGCAAACTTTGATATGCATTCACTAAAACAAGTTTATCTTTATGTTATAAATATTGCTTAGTATTGTTTGAATCAAGTTCGAAATCTTTGTATTGATTTAAAATTTCGAAAACCCTGATTTTCAATAATTAAATCATACCTTGAAAACCTATTTCAAAATCGAAGCATATTTTGGGGTTGAGCCTTAAAGCAAAAGTGTAGATCTTGTCAAGATATACAAAGTTTGTTTTTGAAGTTTTTCAAGTTGTTTAGTAAAATTTGAAGTTAATTGAAAAGACAAAATTCCTTAAATGTTCCCTTTTCGAATTCAAAAGTTCATTTCAAAATGTAGACCGAATTAGGGGTTGGTTATAAAAGCAAAGTTGTAGAACTTTAAATTTTGAACAACTTTTGTTTTTGGAGATTTTTTAGTTGTTATGAAAATTTGGGAGTAATTTGGAAATTTTGGCGAATGACATATCTGTAATTTTTGTGAACAGTGTCCACCGCCGAAGCTACATTGCCGACGTTTCCTTCTTCGGCGTTCCAGGCGCGGTTGTGGCCGTTTTGACGTCGTGCTGGCGCGGTGAAGGCCACAGCGCAGCTTCCTCGAGCTTCTTGGCCCCCTTTTATAGCCTGAACCGCCGTCGTCTTTGCCCTTTCTCCTTGCTCTGTTTTTCCCGATGCCTTGCTCATCTCCGGCGAGCCCGCGCCGTCGTTGTTGTGCTCCCCCGTCGCTGCTAAGCTAGTTTCAGCTTCGCTTACTCCTTGCGCTTCTAGCCGACCCACCAATTCGGCTTGTCTTAGCCGGGAACTCGAGTTACATCATCTTCTTCCTCGCGGCCGGCAACACCTCCGCCGAGCACGATTCGCCGCGGCCAGAGCTCCACGGTGCATCTCCGTCCTTGGTTTTGGTTGATTCCGTTTCGTCTTGATGCTGTGGTACTTAATCCATAGTTGGTTGCTCATTTTGACCACTGCAGTCGCCGGTACACCATCGCCGACGACGTTTTGCTCCGCCGTGCTTGCGCTGATCGTCGAACCACCTTGCTGTTGCTCCTTAGGCTCGGTAGTTGACTCCTAACCGTTCGGGGTAAACTACTGATGCTTCCTAGACCTTTTGTTTAACTGCTACCGGCCTGTTGTCGCCGGCGTAGCGCCGCCATGCATTCGCGTCCGCCATGACCGGCGTTGTGCTCGGTCCAGTCGATGTTGGGTCTTGATTTTGCCACCAATCGATGCGTCCTGTTGTCGTGAATGTATTAGAGCTTTGTCTGTCGCCGGTGATATCGCCGTCGGTGAGGAATCGCCGGTCAGAGCCGTCGCTGCCATGGTCAACGTCAGAGGTTGATGATGACAGGTGGGGTCTTGGTGTCAGTGACTCAGCGTTCAAAATGATTTTTCAGTTTTTCAGATTTAAATAAATAGTGTCTGTTTTGGTTATTTTTGTGTAGATTTATTTAGAGCTCCAAAAATTCTGAAAATTTTTGTGTGACTTCTCTGTGATGTGTATTATTTAGGAAAAATAT